GGTTTAGGGACCCCTTAAGTGGAGGGCAAGGAGGCCCTTAGGAGCCCACAATGCAAGCCCAGGGAGAGAGGTTGACCCCTGGGTAGCTTTCTGGGCTCAGGGATCCCTTAGGTGGTAGCAAAGGGGCCCTTTAGGAGCCTAGACTGCAAGTCCAGGGAGAGAGGTTGACCCCTGGGTAGCTTTCTGGGCTCAGGGATCCCTTAGGTGGTAGAAAAGGGGCCCTTAGGAGCCCAGACTGCAAGTCCAGGGTAAAAGGTTGGCCCCTGGGTAGCTTTCTGGGGTCAAGGATCCCTTAAGGGGAGGGCAAGGGGGCCCTTAGGAGCCCATACTGCAAGCCCAGGGAGAGAGGTTGACCCCTGGATAGCTTTCTGGGCTCAGGGATCCCTTGGGTGGTGGCAAATGGGCCCTTTAGGAGCCTAGACTGCAAGTCCAGGGAGAGAGGTTGACCCCTGGGTAGCTTTCTGGGCTCAGGGATCCCTTAGGTGGTGGCAAATGGGCCCTTTAGGAGCCTAGACTGCAAGTCCAGGGAGAGAGGTTGACCCCTGGGTAGCTTTCTGGGCTCAGGGATCCCTTAGGTGGTAGAAAAGGGGCCCTTAGGAGCCCAGACTGCAAGTCCAGGGTAAAAGGTTGGCCCCTGGGTAGCTTTCTGGGGTCAAGGATCCCTTAAGGGGAGGGCAAGGGGGCCCTTAGGAGCCCATACTGCAAGCCCAGGGAGAGAAGTTGACCCCAGGGTAGCTTTCTGGGCTCAGGGATCCCTTGGGGGGTGGCAAATGGGCCCCTAGGAGCCATGACTGCAAGTCCAGGGTGAGAGGTTGGCCCCTGGGTAGCTTGCTTGGTTCAGGGACCCCTTAGATGGAGGGCAAGGGCACCCTTAGGAGCCCATACTGCAAGCCCAGGGAGAGAGGTTGACCCCTGGATAGCTTTCTGGGCTCAGGGATCCCTTGGGTGGTGGCAAATGGGCCCTTTAGGAGCCTAGACTGCAAGTCCAGGGAGAGAGGTTGACCCCTGGGTAGCTTTCTGGGCTCAGGGATCCCTTAGGTGGTGGCAAATGGGCCCTTTAGGAGCCTAGACTGCAAGTCCAGGGAGAGAGGTTGACCCCTGGGTAGCTTTCTGGGCTCAGGGATCCCTTAGGTGGTAGCAAAGGGGCCCTTAGGAGCCCAGACTGCAAGTCCAGGGTAAAAGGTTGGCCCCTGGGTAGCTTTCTGGGGTCAAGGATCCCTTAAGGGGAGGGCAAGGGGGCCCTTAGGAGCCCATACTGCAAGCCCAGGGAGAGAGGTTGACCCCAGGGTAGCTTTCTGGGCTCAGGGATCCCTTGGGGGGTGGCAAATGGGCCCCTAGGAGCCCAGACTGCAAGTCCAGGGTGAGAGGTTGGCCCCTGGGTAGCTTGCTTGGTTCAGGGACCCCTTAGATGGAGGGCAAGGGCACCCTTAGGAGCCCATACTGCAAGCCCAGGGAGAGAGGTTGACCCCTGGATAGCTTTCTGGGCTCAGGGATCCCTTGGGTGGTGGCAAGGGGGCCCTTAGGAGCCCAGACTGCAAGTCCAGGAAGAGAAGTTGGCCCCTGGGTAGATTGCTGGGCTCTGGGATCCCTTAGGTGGAGGGCAAGGGGACCCTAAGGAACCCTGACAAGAATTTGATGAACCACCTACTTATCCAACTTATGTTTTACACAGTGGATGCTCTTCCAGTTGCAACCCAGTACTGGGAAACATCCATACACACACATTCACACACACACACTCATACGCTACGGACAATTTAGCTCATCAATTCCCCTATAGCGCATGTGTTTGGACTGTAGGGGAAACCGGAGCACCCAGGAAAAACCACACCAACATGGGGACAACATACAAACTCCATACTGAAATGCCAACTGGTTCAGCCAGGACTCGAATCAGCGACCTTCTTGCTGTGAGGCGATCGTGCTAGCCACTAAGCCACTGTGTCATCGTCAAAGAGTTCATGAATTAATTTCACAAATTAATCGGTGTATATTTATTTATATTTTCAAAGCAAAGCAATAAGAGAAATCCACAAATATTACACCAATTTTACAAAAAACTCACCATAATTCAGTCATTTTTGAGAAATACTGGAGTTATGGACTATAATGTGCCCTTGCTTTATTAAACAAAGTGCTGATTTCTTAAGAAAAGAAAAAGCTACTGAGCCCACACTTGATGGCAACACTATCGAAACGCTCTCAGAATGTATTTTTGTTAGCTGGGATATCACTTAGCAGGCGCACACATGTGCTCAGTGAGTGTGTGTGCAGCGGATATACTGTATGCGGATAGCATCTCTGTTGTCTGCGTGGAGACAGATATATCTGCTGGAGCAGCGACGGACGGACGGAGGGAGGCTGGCGCTGTGAATTGGCTGCCTCTTAAGCCAGTTATCTGCCTGCTCCACACACCGCTGGTGCTGTGCCAGCGCTCAGAGCCCGGCTGAGGAGCACATTAATGAGTGGTGGAGGAGGCAGAGACGGGTGTAGCCACTCTTCTGCAGGAAAACTGTGTGTGTGTGTGTGTATGTTTGACAATCTCAGATGCAAGCCTAAAGCACACACACACACAGCACACAGCAAAAGACCCATGGGAGACAGGGATGCTGCAAGTGTCCAGCTAACAAGAACTGTTCTCCAAAAGGGCTCAAAGTTATCTACAAATGTTTCACTAGTAACGTTAACAGAACGTTCTGCAAATCTATCTTATTTTTTTTTGTAATGTAGTACACATATTTATACGTAGTAATGGAGCGATGACCGTTTTTAAATATCAACAATCACTAATTGAGAATTTATATACATGAGCAGTATCACACGAGTAGCAGT